TGTGTGTGTGTGTGTGTGTGTGTGTGTGTGTGTGTGTGTGTGTGTGTGTGTGTGTGTGTGTGTGTGTGTTAATAATTGCCTTCTCTCCTGGTTTCCGTGGCAGGATTTTAAATACCACTTTGTTTGAAAGTTGGGAAATCGTTGGGCCCTACCCGTCCTGGTGGGTCTTCAACCTTCTTCTACTCCTGCTGCAGCTTCTGCACTCATTCTGGTCCTACCTCATAGTGAAGACTGCTTGCAGAGCCATCTCCAAAGGAAAGGTGAGTCGCCACGTTCTCCATTTCTACCTGTTGTTTCACTGCACAGCCAAATGCCTCGCTGCTTCCTATTATTGTCATGAAATGTGTTCTAAAATAACCCCTTTTTCACTTTACTTACCATCAGCAAAAGCTTTTTATTTATTATTTATTTATTTTAGCTTTCATAGAATTTGTGTTGCCTGTTTAATGCAGAGCTGCATTGTGTTGAGAATGACAAATGTTCTTTTTCTTTTCTTTGACCAACTGCAAACTTCAAGGTGGGGAAATGGAATCCTTTACATGTAAGTAGCTTTAAAAGAGTGAATAAAACACTGTCAGGTTTATTTAATACATTCACTTTTACCTCGTATCTCCAACAGTTCTGCACTCTTTAATRATTTGCACTTTTAGTACTATAAATTAAATCAACACCAAAATATTCTCTGTGRAAATGATGTGGTTTTGTGTTGTAAAATTGGATTACATGGGAGTTGTTTTGTGGTTGCTAGTTGTCGACATTCTTGTTCAGTAATTAAGTTATTCTAAATATTTTTGTCTCTGTTATACACCCGGATCTAACCTGACCTGTCGGACTTTATGAACAAAGAGATGTTCCAGAAATTTTGAAAGCTTTTGGGAAAAGCACAGGTGGATGAAATGATAGATACTGATTTAGCAGATGTGATGAAACAAATTAATTTAAGTCTTGCTCATGTAACTTTTTATGGTCAACTCACCAATTTAATTAAAGTCGAATTGCTTTGCAACATTAAATCCGAACCCTAACAAAAGTAGTTGTAATTTTTTATTTTAGAATTTAGGTCCTTATATTTAATTCAGTAAACCTTGTGACTCCGTGTTTTGTCACACTTACTTTTTGCCTACTAACATTAAAGAAAGCCAATAAATTTAATTATCTGTGTGTGTGTCTGTTTACAAAATATCTCATGAATCAATAAATGGATTTTAATGAAACTCACAAAGTTATTATCAGATGAAAATGTACAACTAATGAACTTAAAAAGCAATCAATAAATTATGAAGACATGATAACAAATGTTTTGTGTTTTAGAGATTTTTTTGCCTGGTAACAGGCAGAACTCAAGAGATTTTAACGTTGCAAATTCCACTTGTTATACTTAAGTTTACCTTAAAAAAAAGTAATGAAATCTCCAAACAACGGTTTTATTTCTGCAGGTGTCTAAAGACGACCGCAGCGACATCGAGTGCAGCTCCGACGAGGACGAACGGCCCTCGCCCAATCAGAAGCACCACAGCAGCGCCACCAACGGAACCAACAAAAACGGGACCAACGGCTACCTGACGGGAGCGCCGTATCTCGACGAACACTGACTGATGCTGCTCAAATGGAGCCGTGCCACAGACACTATCYGTTCATMAGTGTGTGTGTGTGTGTGTGTGTGTGWGWGAGAGAGAGAGAGAGAGAGAGAGGGTGTGTGTGTGTCTGTACATGTGTGAATTTAAGTGTATGGTGACGACATGAACAACATCCCCTCATCATCATCTCTTCACATCAAATCTTGATAGATTTATGTGAACTCAGTTTTTTCTCTGGTTCTTTCTAYGAATTTTGTTGCACAGTCTATAAATATTTGCATCAAACACTCATCAAAAAATCAAAAATTATCAGTATGACCCACTGTTTAGCCAACAAACAACATTTGACTATAATTTACGCATGCTTCACGAACCTATAGCTTGGTATCCTGCAGACCATGTTTTCTCATACATTTTCTTTTTAAATGTTATTTAATTTATACTGTTATGTTTACAGACTATAGTCAGACATCTCCTCGTCTTTGATGCCATTGTAATAAATTTAAACAACACAGCTGTTTTTTGTTTGTTTGTTTGTTTGTTTTCCCATAAAGCATTGTATATTGTGTATTAGCAAAATGCTGAAGATCTGGATTCACTTTTTTTGCATCGCCACCCAAAAATCTGCCAAAACAGTGAGATTGGTGTCACTCACAAATGGATGTTAACGTGAAGTTTACACACATCTGATAATACAAACCATGAGATGTCAATATAGTTGTGTGTGTGCGAAAGTGCGYGCGCGTGTGTGTGTGCATCAGATATGGCTAAATGCTGTATTCCTTATTGAATCATTTTGTTTGGTATTCTGATACATTTCTGGTGATCATTAAATTAAAGGCAATTTGTCCTCTAATGAGGTAGATATGAGTTTGGATACTTCAATTAAAAAATGATGACAGCAAATTTGTTGGTGTGTGTTGTATTTGTGATAATGTTTTTGTCTGTGTGTGGGTGTGTACAGTACGTGTGTCTCAGACCAAAATATCTCATGAACSTGTGSACAAAAACGCTTACAGTTCAGTCAGTTTTACAGATAATAAGCTAAGATATGTTATGGTGGTAGCTGAAATATGATTCTGAGAAGACCTGAGTCAATTCTTTGTTTTTGCWAAATATATCATGAAACACTGGGTAGACTTTCATAAAACATTTATCTACGAGATGATTATTTTGGTCACCACAGTCAACTGACCGTAAAAAGAAAAAAAAAATGGGTATAATTCAGTCACTTCTACATTTACAAAGCAGCTTTTCTTTTTCTTGTGAAAAAATATGRGCTAAAAAGCATCCTACATTTACTTCTGTTTTAACACAAAGATATTTAGACAGTTTTGATTATTGACTGAATACATAAAGAGCAGGGCGAGCAGTTTAGGCAAATGCTACGGGTGCTGCCTATTTAGAGTGCACCCCAAATGGAGTGCAAAATTTTTTTATAACTTTTTATAAGAGTATAGGTGATTTAGTATGTAGAATAATCACTGGTTACTCAGGTTTACAGAGGTAATTTGTTTTGTGGGTTTATCCTCTGCTTTGTTACTACATGAGGTGTTATATAGTGCAGAGGATATTTTGTGATAAAAGTATCATATGATGCAGTCAACTGGTGCTTAGTGTGTAAAACTAAATAAGWATAATGGCTGTTTCAGTTATGATCTCAGATAAAGTTCAGGTTAAAGTCTGGGTTTCAGTGTTYTACTTTCATAAAATCCTGGTTTTATTAAAATACCCTTCAAATGACTGGAAAATGCAGAGTTTTAAGCAGATCTTACCAGGATGCGTTTCCTTATTTTGTGAACTATTTTAATTGGTCAACCTGGTTTCTAAACATGAAAAATYAAATCAAAAAGAAAGCTATTTAATTTTGTATGTGAATAAATTGGCAGAGAGATTTAGTAAATTACTCCTTAAATCTTGCCTATGGGTGCCAAATCGGCTAGAACTGGCCCTAATGAAGAGACTTTTTTTGGTCCTCCCATTGTTTCGGTTGTAAACTGACCCACCAACCACCATCACTTTACTTTTGAAGGTGGGTTTGTTTTCCTTGTTAGTGGAATTTTCCTTTGTATTGCCCGCCAACATGAGCTCAGGTGATTTCCGCATGAGAGACTTTGGGAGGAGACTGKTCAAAGTTCCAGGTTCAAAGTCAATAAACAGCCAAAGTCTTAAGATGAAGGAACCGGGCAGCACCTGCTCTGTGAGTATTTCTTTCTAAAATACAAAATATAACTATATTCATCAATGTTTAGTTTAAAATATACTGCAGTAAAACATAAAATTGAAGTGTGAGTTAGTAAGAACTCAATAATGGTTGGAATAAAGTTATTTCCTAATGTCTTAACCTCTGTGACTTGTTTTTCAGTACAACCAGCTCTATCAAAATGTAAAACAATATTCCAAAAATGGAGACTTCTTCTTCAAAGAACTCATCAYAGTTTTCCAGCAAAGGTAGGTTTTGATCATCTTTAGATTTTTTTAAAATATTGAAACTGACCGCAGATCATCTTTTGCTAAAACAGTTGTTGTTTTATGCCAATCCTTTCCGGTTTTAGAGCTGAGCTGGAACACTCGTACTCCAAAGGCCTTCAGAAGCTGGCAGGCAAACTGATCAGAGCCTGTCAAGGAATGTCAAGAAAGTAAGCAAGACACTGTGTTGAGTTTTTTAATTAGCGCTGCCTCCTCTGTGTTTTGTGTTTAACATGACCTCTCCCCTGAGGACAGAGTGCCACGTGGTGCACAGCAATAAAGGTGTTATGGGAAATAGAATGAGCCCAGCGAGTTATGTAGATGTGATCAAAACGCAAGCAGGTGTCAGGCTAATAAGCCCACAGCTTTAACCTTTTCATGCTGGCTCCCCTCTCAGTTCCACCTACAGGGCCTGGTGTCATGTGTCAGACGAGATGTACTCCAGAGCCGATGCCCACAGGTACTGCTCAGCCCCATCTCACGTCATAACAGAAACCTGTGCGTACAGTAAATGTTGAGAGGTAATAACTTTGAAAAACAAATAATGATCTCATTTCAGATCATTAGGAAATGCATTTAACCAAGAGGCCATTCTAGAAATACGACAAGTCTTAGAAGAGCACAACAGGAGGAAGAGGCCAGTATGTGGTTTAATCTTTCCCTCCRCATTTAGGTGTATTTGAGTAAATCTCCAGTTCCGAAACCATTGGGACATTGTGTAAAATATAAACAAAAACAGAATGCAAACCTCTAAACCCATATTTTGTYCACAATAAAACATAGTAAACACATAAAGTTTTTAATAATTTGGATCATTTTCGAGGAACAAATTAGAGTAATTTTGAATTTTATGGCAGCCATCAGTGACATTGTTTACCACTGTGCAGCATCTCTTGCTCTTTTAACATCAGTCTGTGAATGTATAGGAACAGAAGAGACCAGCTGCTGAAGTTTGGRAATATGGTTGATGTAGGATTCTTGTTGTTCAACAGACCTGGGTCTTTTTTGCTGGATCTTTATTTGACGTTGCATCAAACGTTTTCATTTGTTGAGCCGTCTGGACGTCTTGCAGGCCAGTTCAGCACCTGGACTCTTCTGCTCATGCAGTTGTAATATAAAGGACACAGTCTCGTGTTGTCTTGCTGAAATATGCAAGACCTTCCCTAAAAATTAGGTTAACTGAATGAAGATATATGTTGTTCTGAAACCTCTATATACTTTTCTGCACTGATGGTGCCTTTTGTGTAATCTGACCATGCCATAATCATTAAAGCGCCTGTGACATCAATTTTTTTGGTAATAAATATGAATGCATTTTTGGAAAGATAACGTGAATAACATATTACTAATGTTTTTCTCACACCGCTGAGATGACCATTTGTTTATATTTTCACATTTGTGGTAACAGGAAGTGATGTCGAAGGGGAATGCCTGAATATTTACAGAGCATTGCTAAAATGGCTAACAACACTAACTAGAGAAGAACTGGATGTTTCTTTAAATTCTTTTGAATCACTGAAGAGAAACAAAGAAGAGTCAGTTCTCATATTATTGTGTATTATTGTGTCAATAAACAAATGGGAGCTTTCTTTCTTAAAGTGTTCCCCT